ACCGATGTGTCTGGAATGTCGTAAATACCTCTCCCATTCTCCTGGATTGAGTACAAAAGTCCTATCTCTGTATATGCCTGGAGGGATCGTAATTGCCTCACTCCCGATGTTTGCGATTTGAACCGGGACCTTGGCTTCGCTCGTCACCGCGGTGACCACGCGAGGGATTCTCCATTCTTGCTCGTTCCCCACGGGCTGTGGCTCGAGCACCCCTTGCCAATTGACTTCCTTGGTGACTTTGACACCACCGTCTGGAATCTCGACGTCGACCTGAACGAGCGTCTGAGACTTTGCCGGTATTGTAACAGGCGAGCATGTTAGTACCCTGGCGCGCTGGGGTCGTAGCTCTGCGTATGTCGGGAGTGGAATCTCCAGGCTGCCGACCCTGAAGACCCCTGCCTTGTCGTCTAGCACTGTTTTATGCTGGCAGCAGAAGTCTCGGCCGAGAACGACTTGGTAAATCAGACCTGGAATTACCAGCATAGGCTGGATGAATTGCAAAGCCTGTATGGAGAATGACACTTCTGCCTGTGTAGTGACCTGTATTCTCTGCCCACCCGCCTGAGTTATTGCTCCAAAATGCCCTCTGCGGGACGAGTGTTTCGGTACGACCGTCTGGGCGAATTCTTGTCCGATCTTTGATGCGTCGGCTCCAGAATCAATCAGGGCCCATACGCTGCGCCCTTCGACTTCGATTTTGATGACAGAAGCGCGCTTGGTGTTTGGTTCTTGCCCCGGCATTGCCGGAGTATTCTCCACAGCGCCAGATATGTCGCGTGCAGGGCTCGAGGGAGCGATGCCCCCTGCTGCGACTGGCGTTCTCCAGCATTCGGGTAGCGCGTGCCCGTACCGTCCACAACCCTGGCAGGGAATACCGGGCGGAATCGCGCTCAGTTTTGCCCTCGGGGTAGCGGCTCGTGCTGTCCGTTTATGTCGGTTTGAAAACTGCGGACAATCACGTTTGAAGTGGGCGGTATCGCCACACAGGTAACAAACGCCTCGTCTACTGCCGGTCGGTTTGCGGTGCTCGGTCAGCTGGACTTTCATTTCATTTAACTCACTCCGGAGTTCTCCAAGAATGGTCAGAAAATCTGGTGCCTGTCCACCCTCGATGGATTGCGCTTCTTCAGACGAAATTGCCACAGCCGTGTCATGACCGGCGGACGCCCGCATAACGGCGAGAGTGAGGTCCTTTTCCCAAAGTCTCTGGACAACTTCCTCCGCTTTTTGAAGCGACAGCACAGTGTGGTCATTGTGCAGCTTCTCTTGAAGCTTAAGATCGCTCAGACCACACAGGAAGTGATCTAGCGCTATATGATCCACCTGTTCACTGGATAACCCCGGGTGTGCCAGATTTGCAAGTTTTCGGACGCGATCCGCGAATAACTCTATATTCTCTTCAGGCAGTTGACGGATAAGACGCAACTGAGCCGAGCCCGTCGCGTGTCGCAACTAGATCCAAATTTCTCTTGTAGGACCCCCTTAAGTTCCCTGTAGTCGCTCCTGGCTCTTTTGTCCAAGTTCCCGCAAATGTCCAAAGCAGCACCATCCAGCAAGTCGAGCAGGGCAGCTGCTAGTTTTGCCCCCTCCAAGTCGCCAAAACGCGTCTCAAAACGGAAAATCCACGTTTCCCAATTTTCCTCCTCGCGACCGCTAAATTTTGTTGTGCTGTGAATTTTTAAGTACAGTTCACTCGCCATTTTGGGCGGTGATGATCGACGACTAATAAATATGATCGTATCGTCCAACGATACGGTATGCAATGACCAACGGGTAATTTGAAAATCGTGTCGTGCAACGACAACGCTATATAGCCCTATGATCGTATCGCCCAACGATACGTTATGCAATGACAAAACCAGATAATTTGAAAATCGTGTCTTAAACGACCACGCTATCTGTGCTTTATGAGCTGTAGGCGCTGCCAGTGCCTCAGCGTGATTTAATATTTGCCTAACATAATCGACCTGAAATCAGCAAAATCTGGGTCGAGAACGACTGCACCTTTTCCAAATTTCAGGTCGTAGGCTAAGAGCTCATCTATCGTAAATCGATAGCATACTCGTAAGAGCTGCTAAAACGGTTATTGTTTAAACAAGCATAACTCAAAAGTAGGGAGCGTAAATGAGCTTACCTTGACCGCGCCAATGTTAGGCCACAGGCAGCGTATCCATCAGTCGTGTATTGGTGCTCAATACAGGCATTGCACCAGCAGCAGCAGCACCAGCGGCAGCACCCGCGCGTGGCGGCTCCCCGGTCCAGAATGACCGCCGCCCCCGGCTGCGGCCGTGACCCCACGCCGCCGGTGGCAGCGGCGCGCCCAGCGGGAGGCGGCCCGCAGAGGCGCACCCAGCAGCGCGCCGAGAGGGACGCCTCACCCCGGCCACGCAACGCATACACAGCCAATACATAACAATACATAACCCAACACCTATAATGGGGAGCCCGAGAAAATGACCTGACCTTAGGTCATCGATATCAAAATTCAGTGATATATAAATTGTAGCTACTAATGACCTTATAACATCCTGCGGCTTTCAAAGGCCTCCGACATCTACTGTAGCTCTGGCAAGGTGACAAAGTTGCAAAAAAGTGACTTGAGGTTTGGTCATTCAAAGTGACCTGGTGACCTGACCTTAAAAGATAGGAGGTTTTAATTTGCACACCATGTGTAAAATTGATGAGAAAATAGTCGTACCAAATTTCGCGGCGCTAAGCGCCGTGGTTTTCCCGCTATTCGCGAAAAACCTCAGGGGGGCGGATATCCGCCCCCCGTCGGTGCGCGGGTTAAGCTAGATTCAATTTCTTTGCATAAGAGGACTCAAAATGGACTGCGCTATCAAACTGATATCTAAGATTTTCATTTTTTTTGAAAATTATATATACCTATTAAAATTCAAAATTTGTATTTTTACCTTAAAAAAAGTTTTTGACTTTTCGAAAAAAAATGGAATACATATGATAGAACACATGATTATGACCTATTCTAGCAAGTTTTAGCCAGATATATTTAACCCTCGCACGACCAGGCCATTTCTCATAACACGAACGACCAGGGGGGGGGGGGGGTTGTTACGACCCCCCCTGGCGTTTCGAAACGGAAGGTCGTAGAGCTTAGCGGAAAAATTCCAACGGATTGCTCTCAACGAGATCTCGCGATTGGTGGTATATTTTTTGGTCCTAGGTCAACATTTGACCTACTTATGACCGGTCAAAGGTCAAATTTTCCGAAAAAATCAAACTTTTTCAACTTTCCGCGGCGATTGCGGCAAAACGGTGGGAGATATCGACTTGAAACCTTCACTATCGTGTTCCTTAATCAATTCTCTATCGTTTGGTATGTATTTCGTTTCCCTAGCTCTAAAAATGGCGCGTTGGGAGCGCCGGAAGTCGGCAAGGTCACAGTCGGCGGCAGAAATTCGAAAAATCAAAATTTAAATTTTTGAAATCTGATTGTATTTTTGGATTTGGGAGGTCCATTTGCTCCCTATAGAAGCTAATATTGCTGCATATTCCCATTGAGGTGACAAGAATTAGCAAAATAGTGGTTCGGGCGCTTTTCAAAAATAGTACCGGACGCTGTTCCTCTTGTGACGTCATAGCTCCGTGACCTGACCTGACCCGGTCAAATTTCTTATACCATATGATAGCCAATACTTGCCTTAACATGCATGGGAAGTTTCATCACGATCCATCAACCGATGTCCGTACCACCGGCAGGAAACCTCGGGCGTTGGCACTCAGTTTGTGAAAATCCGGCCGGAGGCTGTACCTCTTATGACGTCATAACTCCGTGACCTGACATGACCCGATCAATTTTATTTCGGCAAAAGATGCGCAAAGGTTGCCCCAGAGGGTATTGAAAATTTCAGCCCGCTACGACAAGCCGTTTAGCGTGCACTTCGAAAAAACCTCAGGGGGGGTTGATACAACCCCCCCCCCCTAGGCGTTCTAGGGTTAACAAAATGGCCAAGCTATACGCATTATAGCAAAAAATGCACAATTTTAATTGTTTTCAAATAAATGTTTCAGTACGAATTTGACATCGTACACCAATATAAAATGCACCATTGTGTTCCTGAGCCCAAACTACATACGATAGATATGTTTTTTGTTGAAAAATTTCAACTTTAAAATTGACCTTTTTTTAACTGGAAGTGGCCTGACCTAGGTAAATTCAACTTAACATGACCTTGAATGACATAAACGACATCGAATTCGAAATATAGGTATGGCCTAAATGGATCATATAACATGATTCACGTGACCGACTTATGATATAAGATTCCCGTGACCTGTGATGACCCGACCCTGACCTGAAAATCAAAGTACAAGTTTGGTACCCTCAGGGTATCTAACACATCCGTTCACGAGTGTGTAAACCAAAAATCAGTCTGATCTGACTTGTAACACGGCAGCCAGAGCCCATAATGTGAACAAGCTAAACATCGATAATTTTTACTTTGACCTGACCTGTGACGTCATTGGTGACCTTGAGGTCAATGAAATTAGGTTCCGCTCGAAAGTTTTTCCGGAACTATCAGACACCGTTTCAATTTTGACGATCGGCCCAGTAGTTTTGGAGTTAGGAGGTGGCTATGAATAGCCCCCCCCCCCCCCCAGTAGGGTGCGTTATACACAGACCCCAGTGGGGCGCGGGTTAAGGCCTTGATTCTATTTTACAGGCGAGTCAGCTTCAGGGTCAGTAATGACATGTGTCCTATACGAATTTAAGGCTGACTCTGACTCGGCGTCGGCCTTATATTAGAAATATTTTGAATCATGTCTTATTTCAGCATTTTCCTCCACAACTGAAAATGCGCTTCCTTTTTATACACTGCGAAATAAAACATTTGCATTTTATTTGTGATAAAAATATTTTCACAATGAAACTTATAATTAGTGAATAGTGAGAGGGCATTGTTTGGGAAAAATCGTTAGCTTTTTATTCTAGTGAGGAAATAATCCACTAATTTCAATTACAAATTCTGATACGCGACATGTGGACATCCTCGGACGAAACGGAGCGGGTGCTCACCACCGCACCACTCCAGTCGATGATCCAACGGCTCGCGCCGCGCTTCATGGGCTCCCAGCAGCAGGACGCGCAGGAATTCCTCAGATATCTGCTGGAGGGACTTCACGAGGACGTGAACCGGGTGACGAGCCGGCCAAAGCCGATCACGACCGACATTTACGACTCAATGAGCGCCAGTCAAAAGTCAATGGAGGCCTGGAAACGTTTCTTGCGCCTGGAAAACTCCAAGTTTGTTGACCTGTTCGTGGGCCAGCTCAAGGCTACCCTGCGGTGCACGGTATGTGGCCACGAATCGGTTACCTTCGACCCGTTCTGGGATCTGAGTCTGCCAATCCCATCACGAAGTGGCCAGGTGCGCCTACAGGCCTGTTTTGACCTGTTCACCAAAGAGGAGGTGCTCGATGGCGACGAAAAACCGACCTGCTCAAAGTGCGAGAAGCGCCAAAAGTGCACCAGGAGCCTCTCGATCCAGAAGTTCCCGCGCATCCTCCTGGTGCACCTGAAGCGGTTCTCGCCTCAGGAGAGGTTCCGCGGAAAGCTGAACACTACTGTCGACTTTTCGATGAACGGTCTGGACCTGTCGCCCTACTCGGCCGGACAGACGCCCTACCGGTACAGCCTATACGGCGTGGCGAACCACTCTGGCACGCTGCTCTCAGGACATTACACCGCTTACTGCCGACACCCGTACACGGCAGAGTGGTACGAGTACAACGACTCGCGGGTCCACGTGATGGATCAGAGAAACGTCAACAGCGGAAAGGCATACGTGCTGTTCTTTGAGCTGGCCGGCTCGAAACACCGCTCCGGCTCGACCCACGTCTAGTCATCCAGTCACGGGAGAGGAGCCTGCGATCGTCACCCGCTTGGGCCCTGTGTAGTCACACCGGCCGGCGCACATTCTGCTCGGACAACTCTAGCCAGCGGCCTATCGTGATTTGTGATATTGGGTGTAAGGTGTTGTTAAAAACCAGAACGGTCTATTTTATCGTGAACTGTAAACTGTCTCGGATAGCAATTACAAATTCTTAGCAATCCATGAAATAATTCGACTCAGTCTCAAATCCTCACATCTCGTAGCCTTCCGATTAGAGGTGTGCTTTTTGGTGATCCAGGTAACCCGCCCCGCCCCGCAACCACTCACGAGATACCCACAACTACCCGCATGGGGGATTTCAGTGGTAGAAGCCCAAAAAGCTTTTCCATTTTCTAGTCATATTTTTCCAGGACACCTTATTGCATATGTGAAGTAATCTAGGCCATGCTCCAGTATATTCATTTTCCATTTTAGAGGGGAAATTTTGTTTTGTTTTAGTTGAGAAGTTTCTGATGTTTTTGCCACCCGCATAAAACCCACACCAAGGTAATTCCTAGTGATGCAACCCACTTAAACCCTTGCGGGTTGTTTTGTCTACCCGCTCATTGCGGGCTGACGGGTCGAAAAAGGGCACTTCTGCTTCCGATGTCTGTAAACAAGTTGTCGATAGTGTTTGCGAGCTGGATATGTGACTATCAGTTTGGCTTGAGCAGATCCTAGCATCTTCGTCGTGTTGCATTGCGCAGTGTCTTGATGAGCCCCTAGGAGGCAGACTGTGCCGCAATGCCACCGCCAACGACTATACATACCCAAACCCAACCAGCTCGGCACGACGACCTTATCAAGTCGGCCGTCCCATCATAGCGTTTAGCGATAGGCGTTATCACAGGTGTATTCGCGGCCATTGGGGCGACGTAAGAAAAGAAGAAACCAACTGGCACCAAGAACTTTAAATTATCAGTTAGCATGCACCTTTTCCTTGATGTGTAGAGAATTTACCATTAGTTGTTACAGAAAATTGCATTCAAGATCTTTCATTTATGCTTTTTTTGTCGTTTGCACAATATGTTCTTTTACTAAGCTAGAAACACTAATTAGAAATAGTTCCCGCATCATCAAGAACAATAGGGAAGGCTTGAAGTGAACAAAATAATATAAACGGCTTTGTAATCTATGTGAAGGCACTTCTAAAATTGCCTGTAGAAATATTGAAGGCAAAAGTTCAACTTTTTCACAAGACAGATGTCTATAAACAGGCGCGCACACAGGATTTTTGAATGGGGGGGGGCACGACCTTCGAACTGGGCCCCCCATGCCGAAGGGCCCCCCCAAAAAAAATACGGCCCACGGGGCTATATTTCGGTTGGTTTGAAGCTTGAGCAATTGGTTTGTCAATGCATGGTAAAATAATTATTTCGGTACCAGCTTAATTTTCAAAACATATATATTTTTACGCTAGCATATTTTTTACAAATGCGACTCAGAGCCGGTACATATACCTAATCATCTAATTTATTACGTAAAACATTTCATTAATAAACATTTTTGCAAGTCCCTCAGAAATCAGCCCCGGGCAGCGACTGACTGCCGGCCGGCCGACCGGCCCCGGGTGGCTAGAAGCAGGGGCCGGTCACTGTTTGGCCCGGATGTGTAGGAGCGGGAGCAGCACTCCTTTTTCACGTATATTTGCATATTTTTTTAGGCACATCGACATGAAATGTCATTACGAGTATATCTGATACGATGCGGGATCACAAACTAGAGATCCAGCTTATAACTTATATTTAATGTTTAACCGATGAATCAAATCAACAGGACTATGCACGATGCATGTCGCACACGTACCCAGAATTTCGCCCAAGAGGGGGTCACCTGCTGGTCACCTGACCCCGGGCCCGCGAGTCACCCGGGGGCCCGGGGTCAGCTCAGGCAAGGATGTATCCAGGACCTTTCGATGGGAGGAGGGAGGCACGGTGGGTCCAGTCTCACTGGCAGACGGGTCTCTTTTAAACGGTCTTTGCATGAGAAAATGTGGAAAATTGGCAAGCAAAAGTATCATTTATGCCCGAGGAGTGTGCCTAATGTACACTAATGCCTAATTTACATGGTATTTTACGAGCGAGCGAAGCGAGCGAGCTCCTCAGAGTCACCGGTGTGTGGCGCGCTCAGAGGTGCCTGGTGTTGGGTCCTCACAGGCGCCGTTGCGGGGTCTTAGGGCTTAGAGACACTGTTGGGGCCATCATTGGCATTGTGTGGCCCTGCAAAATGGCCTGCAAGTGGAAAGTGGCCCGTCATAGGCTGGCAAGGACACTCGGAGGCTGGTAAGAGGCCCTCAGAGTCACTGGTACGTGGCCCTCAGAGGCGTCGGTGTGGGGACTCTCAGAGCCGCCGATGTAGGCCCTTAAGATGCGCTGGTGGGGGTCCCTTGGAGGTGGGGCGAGGGGCCTCGCAGTTGCCGTTGTGGGTGCCTTTAGAAACACTGGTGTGGACCGTGTGTCTATCACAGACGGATGTGGAGCCATAGCAGCCAATCCCTCGTTGGCCGTTACTAAGGCCCTGAGCGGCCGGCGACGTCTCTCAGAAACCGGCATTGGGCCTTTATGAAGATAATTGTGGCTACATAGGAGCCAATAACGTCCCCCACAAGCCCTGTGTTGTCCTTCCGAGTTGAAGTGCGGCCAGCGCGAACCCTCTGTTACCAACTGGCGCCGCAGGGCCCCTCGGTTTCGAAGGAACCCTAAACCCGAGAACGGGCACGTACCCCTCGCTCCCTTGCTATGCCACTGAATCCAAGTGATTAGGGACCCTTTAGGTAATCAGGGGCGTTTCAGATGACCAGGGGTTTTCAATTGATCAGGGGCCCACCAGGTGACCAGGGGCCCCTCTGGTAACCAGGCGCCCCTTATGTAACCAGGGACCCCATCAATAACCAGGGCCCCTCAGTAAACGGGGGCCACTCATGTAAGTGTAGGAGTCCGGCTGCAGATAACCAGGGCCGGCAAGGTTTCTCAGGTCCGTTTTTTGTCAAGGCTCTTATTGACTCAGGTGCGAGCCCTTTGCCATCAGCAGAGGGCCCTTTCAAGCCTTTTGAGGGCCGTTTAACGTCTCTTGAGTTCCCATTGAGGCCTTCTAAGGGCCCTTTGAGCAGTCGAGGGGCCTTTGAGGCCTTTTTAGGGCCTCTTGACGTCAGCTGAGGACCGTTGGACGCCAGCTGAGGATCGTTTTTGGGCCTTCTGATGACCATTAGATGCCAATGGATGACCCTCTGACACCAACTGGGGCCCTCTGACACCAGCTAAGGGCACTCTAAGTTTGACGCTAGCTCAGGGCCCTCTGACATTAGCTGGGGGGCCCTCTGACGCTAGCTCAAGGCCCTTTGACGCTCTTTAACCCTCGCCCGCACATGCCATTTTCCCATCCTAGAGCGCACATGGGGGGGGGGTTGCCACCCCCCCCCCCGCGCCATTTCGTTCCTGTTGGAGATAGAGCTTAGCAGTAAAGACCAAAAAGATTCTTTGGGAAGAGACGAATCCAATGATACCCAGTTTTACCTTCTCAGGTCAGTCACTGACCTTCCAGGTCAGGTCAAACTAAAAAATGTTGCTGTTTTGGGTCACCGTTGGATATCAAGTGCGCTGCTTATCAAATACCGATGACGATGCTGTTTTCTGGTGCCAAGCCAGCTAGAACCTCTTTGTCACACTACCCGACCAGAATTTTGCTGCTGAGGTCATTTCAGGTCAAGTTAGGTCAAGGTCAATTATATGTGTTTGTATGTCTGTGTGTGTCTGTGTGTATACTGGTGTGTGCACCGATTGTTTTTGGGTCCATATTACATGAAATCATGATCTGAGAAGCTTTTACCAACAATGCAGTCAAAAAAATTCACAAAAAGTAAATTCAGCTTGCCTAAAACGCAATTATCTTAGATGACCTAGGTTGACCTTGACCTTGACCTTGACATCTGTACATCGTCGAACAACATGTTCCATGATAGGTGGGAGGTAAGACTGGCAAAAAAGGCCGAAATCAGGGTGTCAAAAGCTCACAAGGCCCATAGCAAACGCAAGATGTTGAGAATTGGCCATTTGGGTCATGACATGACCTGAAAAACAAGGTCATATCTCCGAAACCAAAAATCACAGAAACTTGAAATTTTCAGTGAACATCAAGAAAGGATAAACGAGCAGCTATACGAAAAATCAGCTTTCTAGCCCTAAAAATGTTCAGTGCAGAGCAGAAAGACTACCTGGGGAGGGGGGTGGCAACCACCCCCCCCATGTGCGGGCGATGGTTAAGGCCTTCTGAGGGCCCCTTGAGGTCTTCTAAGGGCCCTTGAGGCTTTCTAAGGGCCCCTTGAGGCTTTTTGAGGGACGCTTGACGCCAGCTGAGGACCGTTTGAGGCCTTCTGATGGCCATTTGGCGCCAGCTGGGGGCCATCTGGCACCAGCTGGGGGCCCTCTGTCACCAGCTAAGGACCCTTTAGAGCCTTCGGAGAGCCGTTTGACGCAAGGGCATGGCCCTCTGACGCCAGCTCAGGGACCATTGACACCCTTTAAGGCCTTCTGACGTCCGTTTGACGTTAGCTGAGGGCCCTTTGAGGCTATCTGAGGGCCCTTTAAGGCCATCTGAGAGTCCTTTGAGGTCATCTGAGGGCTCCTTAAGGCCATCTGAGGGCCCTTTTTGACACCAGATGAGGGCCCTATGACGCTAACTGAGGGCCCTTCGAGGCCATCTGAGGGCCTTTTGAGACCATCTGAGGGCCCTTTAAGGCCATTTGAGGGCCCTTTGTACACGGTCTTCGGTGGTCTAAGGATTAAATAGAGGCCCATTTGAGCCGGCCTTCGGCCGCCTCAAATGGGCCCCTTCCTTCGAGTTGGGCCCCCCAACTCGAATGGGGGGGGGGCACGGGCCCGTGTGCCCCCCCCCTTGTGTGCGCCCTTGTCTATAAACCTATTTAACTTGTGACAACTCAGCCGGTATTTCGTCGCCTACAGCCCAGCTTTCCCTAGTGACCGATAGAGGCGCTGCTATCGATGTCCGCCCGTGCCGCCTAACGGCAATCCTTAGAGCACCGTCAATGCTGCTCCTCTAGCAACGGTCATATTACCCCGCATTGCCATTCTGACAAGTTTTGTCTATAAAGTCATTACGGTTAATGTTTAATTTTACTTAGCCAAACAACTATTCGGCCAATTTGAAATGCAGTCATGGTCAGGCCTTTTAACCTCAGCAGAAGTACTTTAACTTCAACATCTATTCTTAAACTGCTAGGCCAGCGTTTTTTTTTAAGAAAATGTGTGCCCTTTTTTCTTAAATTCTATTAGCGAGAGATTATTTTCGCATGGCCTAAGACACACCTACCTAGGAGAGTATATCTTGTTTCCTCTCTCGCTCCCTTTTACTGCTTTACTTATCTCCCTTTTTCTCAGCCTACCTCTCTTGTTTTCTTTTTTCCTTTTCCATCTCTCTTTTCTCTCCTCCCGTCCTTATCCCTTCCCTCCAGTCTTTTTAGCCCCCCCCTCTCTCTCTCCTTCCCTTCTTCTCCCTCTCTCTCCTTCACTCCTCTCTCTTTATATATATAACTATATATATGTTTCATTGTAGACCAAGGTTGTGAGCTTTAGCAAGCTTTCGAGCGAATGTTTTTAGGCGAGCTTTTAAGGAATTCAATAAAAACACAAAATGAAATCATGCTACAAATTTCATTGCTTACCTCAGGGATGAAATCAGCGAGGAAAGAACAGCAATATTTTTAACCAGTAAAATGCCTTTTGGGGCGACCAACAGAGCGAGCGAGAGGGTGGGCCTTAGATAAGCGACTGACACCTCCAACTAACTTATGCACTGCACCCTACTAACCGGTCCCTAGCGATGTGCCAAATTTGAGCGCAATCGGCCTAGCCGTTCTCGAGATCTGGAAGCGGCACCCTGCACGTGCGCACGTGCAAAGTGGGTCCCAACTGACTTTTGCACGGCACCCTACTAACTGGTTCCTAGCCATGTACCAACTATTTCAAAACAATCGGTTCAGCCGTTCTCGAGATCTGGAATCGACCCCTGCACGTGCGCACGTGCAGCAGCACCCCAACTGTGGCACATGGATATGCATTGCCTAGTGGGTGCCTATACCTACATACCAAGTTTCAGCGCAATCGGCCAAGTAGTTACCAAGATATTGCAACAATTACAAAACTGACACCTCTTCGTTTTGCACGTGGCACGTGCATAAGCGGTCACCCACATGCATCGAGAATAGTCCAATACTTGGTAGAAGGAATGAAGCTACCCTACAAAAATTATCGCATGTAAATCGGTCAAGTGATTGCTGGGATATAAGCCTCGCAAAAGCGTAACCACGGCCGGCCGGCCGCTCATACTCGAAATTTCCGTTAATCTACGAAAGACTACGCTCGCTTCGCTCGCTCCGTAATGATTTCTTCAGACTAACAATGCCTCAGCCATATTGGCACGCTGCTGGCTGAAAATAAGGTACTTAAAAAGACCCACTGAATCGCCACGATTTTAAGTGCATAACATAACATAACATAACATGTATTCAATGTAACAGCAGGCCACTTGGGCCCAACGAGGTTACAGGTAGATGAACAAACACTGTATGTAAAACACGGTACAATTACACCATTTCATCGAACACTAGCCCACGCTGTTTATGATACAAGTCTAACTCATTTTTAAAATTACTTAAGGAGGAACTATTGATAACTCTAGGAGGTAAACCGTTCCAAGCTTCTATGACCCTACTGGTAAAAAAGGACTGTCTTAACTTGGTGCTGGAAAATTTCTTTACTAGTTTGCACCCATTTCCTCTCGTGGAATTTGTATTGAGTGTAAACATATTCCCAAAATCTAACTTATCAATCCCTTTGTATATTTTAAAAAGTTCAATCAAATCCCCTCTTATCCTGCGGTAATGAAGTGAAAACATATTTAAGGAAGCCAGGCGTTCTCTGTAGCTCATTTCACCCAGCCCACGAACCATCTTTGTTGCCCTCCTCTGCACACGCTCCAAAAGTTTTATATCCTTTTTTAGAGACGAGTGTCATGTCATCTCTATGTATATAAGATATCTATGGTGATTAGTAGCAAGTGCTGGTGACTGTACGGTGTACCTAAATGTGTAGGCTATAAAATCATGCGAAGCAGTCCATACCTTGTCCTGCTTTCCTTTCTGCTATTCGCGATCGCGCAAAGAAAAAAGAAAAAAGAAAATGAAATTTACGTTGAAATTTTTACGAAGATTGAACGATACGTTTAGGCCCCGCTAAAGTTGCCCCAATTCGCGACCAAGTATGAAAACATAGCCCGGGTAATAATATCAATTAAGGTAATAATATCAACTGATACATGGTATAGTCCGACACATAACTGATGGCATTCTGCATGTGTTTTCAGGGCGCGACGGAAACGGTAAGTCAATGGAAGCAGACTTATTGCCTATAGTTGCGGCATGGAATACAACAAATAACAAGGAATTTCTGAAACCGCAAGGATCTCAGAGTGGAAGATTTGGTAAAAGAAAAGACTACAATTTGTTCGATAAAGCTCGAAAGACCATTCGAAGGCGAAACTGGAAGACCAGGAGGAGTGCATTCGGAAACGATTGGGTACTGCCTAAAAAGCCACTTTGCTACCGTGAAAAACTGCCTCAGGTCACATTTTCAAACAATATGATCATGTTTGTGCCGGAAAGCATAGCTAGAGTACCTTTGCTTGAGTTTTCAAATGGAAATAATGAAAAAATAGATGCAGCTACAGCAACACTCACATGCACACTTTTGATTGATGGAGCGCACTCAAAGCATGCACCATACTCGTGCGATGCGGATGACATTGTATGTAATGATTATGAAAAAACTTTGGTAGAAGTGTATGATGTGAATGGCAATTTTCAACTGCGAATGCATGCCAGCGAAAAGTCGTCGGCACATTACTGTTGGTGCTGGTTTTCCGACGCTGACGGAATGCTCGAGGTCAAAAATATTCGTTTTACCGAACAAATAGAACCTGGAAGCGAGCTCGACTGTGCTGAATACAAACTGGTGGCACCACGGGAACAGGCCCAACAAGTAGTCCCAAGCCCTGAACAGCTCAGCTGGTCAACAGCTCACTTAGGGATGACTAAAGTTTCAGCCAAATGCAAATCGCAAACGGCAATCAATACCCTAGTCTCCGGTCGCTTGGACATGCTAGCGGTCGCAATGAAACTTATAGGGAGCACGGCAATCTGTCCGTCGCTTGGGGCAAAGATAATGCAACTACGTGTGTATCCACTTCAATACTTGAACTGCACTTCCGGAAGTCAAGCGTGTCCACGCCTCGGCGTAGTTATGGTCGTGTTCCCTTTTCCTTGGAATAGCTTGAATGTGCGACAGCTAAGCATGGAAGAGGGCGATGTTTTAGAAGCTGGCTTTTACCTCCCACTGCCACTGCATGTGACCCAGTTTATGAATCCTCACGAACAATATCGCGTTATACAAGAAGTTATACCTATGGGTACGACACAGAGTGATCAAAAGGCCGATAAATTGCAAACGGACTATCAAGACGTCACCGTGAAGCATCCGGACTTATCGCGCTGCATCATCCAACTGGAATTCCTAATTCATACCCTCCTAGGTACTAAAAAGTACGCTGCCGAGCATTGTCCGCCAGCGATAGCATACGGTAACCGAAGAGCACTGACAGGCAACAGTGTGGAGTTCAGCGTCAAAGGGGTCGTGTTCGGAATAGGCATACATTTTGCAAAAAAGGTTTGGACTTTCAACTCACCACTCTGGATTGTATTTGACGGCTTCACGATGACCGCTCATCATAGATCAAGATTGTACAAAAAGCGGGTTAATCTGGTCAGGCATAATGCATTTACTTACGTGCCGTACAACGTAAAAGTAAACGGTCAGGGTGGAGTGACTTCCATACCGATACAAATACTACAGTGGGAACGTCCACTGTTTGAGTTCACCATTAAATTAGAATCGACATCACCGAAAATAGAGCTCATTCAGTTTGGGTTGCCAGGATTGTGTGGAACTCAAACGGTAGACGATGAACGACTACGCGAACACAAGCTTGGTATATCAACCAAGGTTCGCTTGACTCTACCGAACTGCCGCCCAGATCGCTGCGTGGAATACCGAATCGATGGAGAACATCTCAGGCCACCATTACAGGCTGTTGATTCAACCAAACCTGTAGTACCTAACTGGCTTCTGAATGTTCGACCACACTGGTCATGGCAACAAGCAGTTGCTGTTTACGTGGGTCAGGATTCAATCCGGTTTTCCGAAGAGCGTGTCGCTGATTTCCCAGGCGATGCCACATTACATCTAGATAAGGAGCAGCTTGGAATGACGATTGTTGGAAGGATCAAGCAAAACGGGGAATCAGAAACAAACGAGCCCGTGTACCCGAAGTATGTCGTTCCTATACCGAAAATGAAATTATCACTAAAAGAGACACTAACCCTTCACAGTTATGTGGCCCAGTTAAAATACAGAGCTCATATTCCTGGGAATAAAAGGATAGACAGCCAGATTGGCACATTTATTTATGTTTCGTATGACCAGCTAACGTTTCAGCTGGGCATTGCTGACCTGGGCACGCCTCTGTACCGTTCGTCACGTGCCAATGACCCTCCGCTGTTCGAAGACCGCCTGACACTGGACGCCCTAGATTTCTGGAATGGGCAAACCGTACAAGTTCTTACGGTTGTGGCGGTGCCGGAGCCCACCGTTCTCCGCTTCGTGACTGGAAAGCCATGCTTGTTGGAAGACAGAGGTGTTCCAGATTCGTTTTTAGAACCTCCGGTCCTACAGGGAAGATCAAGATGTAATGCAGATACACCGCCGTGCTTATTCTGCGACCCATCTTCTAACAGTGTTATTAACCGCTGTATAAAAACTGTCATGTGTCAAAAAAACTACCAGAGATCGTGGATGCCAAGATTGCCGGCCCGACCAGCATGGCCAGAATGCACCGATGATTCAAAGTGTGCAGCGTGGGAGTTTCTTCAAAACTATAGAGATAAGGTTAGTAATTATGGGTGCATTGCAAACGCATTGTCTGTTTCAGTGTGTTCTCTAGTACACTGTCGGTGTTCAAGCATTTAGGCTAAAGCAGTTACAGGGTGATCAATAATGCCGAGGTAAAGTTAGCACCTAGAAGAAGGGTGCTAATAGTATATGTTTTAACACATAAACAGCACACTGTTAGAAAGACAAATCAGGGCCTTCTCTAACATACCCACTGGTAGGGCAAATGCCCACCCAGTCACCACAATTGCCCACCCAGTTGCAGTGGCGTCGATTTACCCACCCAGGAAGCAAATGCAAAAATAAACGTCCGGCCGGACGTCCGGCACTATCTTTCCGGTCTTAAGCAAACTGGATGCTGTTTGAAGGTCCAAAAAAAAGTTTTCTGGTTGCCCGATATTCAGGGGCGTAGCCAGGATTTCCTCAAGGAGGGGGCCAAATGCACAGGGGCCCAAGATAACCCCCCTCAAAATAAAAAACATCGGGTTGCATCCAATATTCTTTGGAGGGGGGCCAAATATATCGAAAAAAATATTTATTAACAAAAATGTTAGAACTGAGGGGGTAAGCAGTAAATGGACCCCTGTTAGATAGCCCCACAAATAGCTTCATAGAGTCGCCAGCCGGTTCTGAGGGCGGTCTGAGGGCCCGTAGGTCGGATGAGGGTTCTTCAGACCGTCACAGGCCCCTACAGCCTATGAGAGCCTCGTAAGCCGTCTGAGGGTCATATAAGCCGTCTAAGGGCCACTCAGACCGACAAAAGGCCCCTTTGCACTTCCAGAGGCCAGTCAGGCCGACGGAGGGCCCTCTCAGACAAACTAAGGGCCCGTTCAGGTCATTTGAGGGCCTCCTCAAACCGATAGAGGCCCCTCAGATCTACAGTGAATCCGATCCGAGCTCCCTCAAACCGATATGCGGTCACACCAACAGTCGAAACGCATTGATTCTGTTTACACACCGTTGGACCCAAGTTGGAACCATGCCATCCTTAAAGGAACTATCCCACCTTCTAAAATGTTGTTAAAACCAGTTAAATTGTGCCCGACTTTATAGATTGGATGACCAGGAACACGGTTCTGGCATTTATTTTTCATTAAACATCTTAGGCTTCCCATATTCCAAACACAAACTTTCAAATATGTGACGTCACAGCCCAAAATTACCTCCTTCCCCAGGCCACATTACTGTCATAAAGCTGATTCTTTTAACTCTGTAGGCACCACAACAAAGTTCAGACCAAGTTTTAAGCGATTTTTCAACGAACAAACCCATTTAAATCAGAATGACTAAACGAGGTGACGTCACACTAACGGTCGCTCCATGTTGAAGATAGGGCCTTGCGCAAGGCCCATTTTCAAATGAAGGGAACGAATTTCTTCAACACCAAGAGGCCGCGGGGGTTGCAACCTAGATAGATAGTGGTTTCTGAACCTCGCCGCAAACTTGGCTATCTCAACTCAAACCCCATGTTAAAGGTGGGATAGTCCCTTTAACTGGCCCCCTGGTTTCAATAGAAGACCTACTAACCTAATTTAGAACCAAGCATATTAGAGGCAATCTACCTGTTGGTGACTTTTTTAACCCTCGCCGGCCGAGGGGGGGGGGGGCGGGTGCCGCCCCCCCCCCATAGGGTTTTTTCGCGATAGCTCCGAACACGCTGGCGATAGAGAGCTGAAACTTGGCATACCTGACCTTTGATCCAAGCCGCATCTTTTGACACCAACCGCATTTTTGGGTCAGGTCAGGTCACTGACCTATGACGTCATAAGTGAACCTCTGCACGGTCTTCAGATGTCGCAACTTCGCAACGCCCTCACTGCCAGAGGAAATGTCACAGGGAAATGAAACTTGCAGGATCTAGTATCCATTATGAGTCCCACAACTTGTATATCTCGGATTTTTCCTAAAGGTCATATGAGGTCAGGTCATTTTCGTGACCTCACCATTATAAGTCAATGGGGAAAAATTCAAACTGCTATTCTGGCGCCGGGAACGATCTCTAACTATCTCAAGCACACAGAATCGTGATTTGATGCACTCCTTGCAAGGTTAAATGCGTCACTTTTGCAATGTTGACCTTGCGTGACGTCATTTATGACGTCATCAAGGTCAAATTAGTTTTTCGTCAATAACTCTTGATCAAATTGAGCTAGCGAGTCGGGAAAGGCACCAATGGACTCAGGAAGGCCTGCCGAATCGAATGATATGCGACATGACCTCTTTCGACCAACTTCGTGACCTGGGGGTGCTGACCTGACCTTGACCTGAGGTCAACACCCCAAGTTGACCTGACCCGGACAAAAAGTATATCATTCGACGCGCCTGAGCGAGGCGAACACGATGCTGCCAAAATCGGCGCTCTGCGGCCGTTTTTTGCGAAGTTATTCACCAAAAACTGAATCGTACCCTGGGGCACTTGACCTGACCTCAGAGGTCACCGGTTGACCTAGGACCTTAAAATCGGGTACCAATCTCTGCGTCTCGTAACGGCGCACACGCTCGTTTTTTCCGCGACGCGCTAGCTCCACCAGGGGCGAAACGGCGAGGGGGGGGGGTCGTACCCGCCCCCCCCCCCCTCGGCCGGCGCGTATGTTGAAAACCAATAGGTCCGGCGAGGGTTAAGGGACAAACTTGCAACTGTGTTCACATGTTCACAATGGGCGTAAATGTAGAACAAAATATACGAAAAACGATATAAGATAATATGGCGGCCGCTAGGTAAATACTAAAGGTTGTATAAGCTAGCGTTTTGAAGACGACGATACTATGCTGCGGGTCTAGGTTAAGAGAATGTCCCATATGGGGCTCAAACGGACGCCGCCCTCATCAAGGTTCATATTGGCCTGTGGCGTTAGCTCGACCTCTATGGCTTCTCGGACCTTGCGCCTCTTCCAGTGACCTTCAGTGGCTAGCGTCTTGGCGGTGAGTGGGTTCAGGTCACCCTTGCAGGTGCTGAAGTGTCTTGCTGTAGCAGACTTGTCCAGCCGTGCGTGCTTGATGTCCGCGACAAGTTCTTTGAGTCGGACATCCTTTGGCCTTCCCGATTCGCCGATGTAGATTGAGCCACAGTAACAGGATATCTGGTAGACCACTCCTTTTTTCTTTTCGGGTTTGGAGGCGTCTTTGGCTTTGACTAAGCGGCTTCTTAGGCAATGCCAGCTTTCGGACTAGCAAAGCGACTCTGAAGGACTAGCAAAACGACTGAAGCCAAGTCACTCACGGTAGAGCGGGAACAAGACCAGCAGCTCCCGTTCCTTGACGTCCTCGTTCGTCGTGACAGGGTAAGGCTGAAAACATCAATGTATTCAAAGCCAACGGCATCTAATCTGTACCTGAAGTACAGCCCACCGCTAAAGTAATGTAGGGTTTTACCAATCTCAACGATTGGCTTTGACTGGCGATTGTTTAATGCGGAGTGATCGAAAAGAAGATGTCAATAGCTAAAATTGCAGCTGCAACGGTGACGATACATATAAGCTACATTCAAAGTTGCATTGTAGTCGGGCTAATCGTTCCTAAGCTTCAGAAGCAGAACATACCCATGAATACAATACAAATACCATGACTGAAACCCCACATTACTTCTGCTGTGGACTGTACGACTCCAATCATCCGGCGTGCAGAAAAGCTAGCATTGTAAGATGTTTGGACACGAGAGCCCAGGTCGTCTGCAGTGAGCCATCAAGCCGGCACGAAGAGAGGGCGCACCTCTGTGACCTGCTACAAAGTAATGGCTACCCAAAAAGTTTCATAGAAAATTCAATGAAGAAAAGAAAACATATCGGGCAGCAAGCTGAAGATAACGCGCAAGAAAAAACATTCAAGTTACCATACGTGCGGGGCGTTAGTGAAAAACTAGCTTAAGTCCTCCGTCCCATTGGAATCCAAGTGGCACACTCATCGAACCGCCTAAGAAGCCGCTTAGTCAAAGCCAAAGACGCCTCCAAACCCGAAAAGAAAAAAGGAGTAGTCTACCAGATATCCTGTTCCTGTGGCTCAGTCTACATCGGCGAATCGGGAAGGCCAAAGGATGTCCGACTCAAAGAACTTGTCGCGGACATCAAGCACGCACGGCTGGACAAGTCTGCTACAGCAAGACACTTCAGCACCTGCAAGGGTGACCTGAACCCAGTCACCGCCAAGACGCTAGCCACTGAAGGTCACTGGAAGAGGCGCAAGGTCCGAGAAGCCATAGAGGTCAAGCTAACGCCACAGGCCAATATGAACCTTGATGAGGGCGGCGTCCGTTTGAGCCCCATATGGGACATTCTCTAAACCTAGACCCGCAGCATAGTATCGTCTTCAAAACGCTAGCTTATCGAACCTTAAAGGGACTATCCCACCTTTAAAGGTAGTGTGCCACCTTTGAAAGATTTCCCGTTTTATTTTTCCTAGGATAAGAAGCTTCTGTTTTTACCTAATATCGCAAAAAAAAAATCAAAAATGGGCCTGGAATAGTGCCTTTTTCGCCTAAAAGTTTATCGGTTTTTAGATATGTATAACAACTGTAGTGGGCTCACCTGCAAACAGGCGTCGGGCACTGGCGGATCCTGGGGGGGGTCCACGGGGTCATGACCCCCCCCAAAAGGTCTGAGAGGGTCATTTGACCCCCCCCAAAAGCCGAAGACCTAAATGCGCTATAGACGCCGTCTTGCATGCTCAAAATCACCTGTCAAACACTTCTGAGCTAATACCTTTGTTTTTCTGGATCGTGTTGCGTGAAAAGGCGTATTGAAGACCAGAATCTTACTCGTTTTTGTCTCAACCGTGCGAGCACCAGGGGATGATCCAGGAAAACTCCAAGGGGATGGTCATGAATTTAATTCGTGGTGCACCTACCTATACGCAAAATTAAAAACTCAACGGATTTCGGTCACTTAATTTTGGTGATGTCCTATTTTCATTTTTTATTTTGTTTGTTTTATTTTTAGTGCCCCTGGGCCCTGGCAGGTCAAAATCACGTCTGAGGCGAAAGAAATTCACGGGAATCCCAAAAA